ACACACACACACACACACACACACACACACACACACACACACACACACACACACACACACACACACACACACACACACTTTTATTTACAATCCATTCTAATTTATCCAACCAGCTTAACAAATATTATATTTATTTACAGGAAACAGCCCTCTTAAATGCAGGTTATGGTCCTCTTTCTGAGCACTCTCTTCAAAGGTGAAGAATATTGGATATCAGTTTTTTTCAAACTCTTGATAAAACTAAGTGTATGTGATATGAATTTTGCCTGAATTATATAGCTGTAATTGATTTTTTAAAATTATAAACAAACTCCAAATTGTCTTTTACACAGAAATCACTTTCTTCTCCAAATAAAGGGCACAAATTATATATTCTTACAGTACAGAACATTTTGCTCCATTTCCTGCTGATTCAAAAGGTACTTTTGTTATATTCCTCATAATAAGTTTGAGACTCCCATTTAATCGGGGCTATCAAGCTGTCAGCATCGGTTGATTAAAAAGATTTTCTGTAAACATATTGTTTTAGGAAATATGGGAAAATTATCTTACCCAGAGCAGCAGTCACAGGCTCAACTTCTGTGTGTTGTGATCTCCTGAAATAGTTTTCGGATTGTTGATTGATCCTGCATTAAAACTCAATCCATTGGTGTCATATACGTACTCTCCATCTCCTTGTTCCTTTGCCACACTAGAAAGACCTTAGTGCAGGGGTGGGCAATTATTTTGGGCAGAGGGCCACTTACTGAGTTTTGGCAAGCCATCAAGGGCCACATGACAGGCAGCCCAGAGCAGATGAATATTAATTTTCTAAATTTTTTAGGGGCCCTGCGAACTGGATAAAATGGCCTGGCAGGCCACATCTGGCCCCTGGGCCACATTTTGCCCACCCCTGCCTTAGGGGCTTAGCCTTATTCAGTGATTCCTGCATACAGGGCCAAATTCTCAGCTCTATTTAACTGACTATTTAAGTCAAGGTATGACTTCAGCTAATCTACCAGCAGTCTGTTTATATTCTTTGACTGTGAAGATTGTCATGCTTGGCATTGTTTTCTCCATGTTGCTGGCACACACAAGAAAGATGGGATGAAACAAGAGCAATTGGGAAGTTGTTATTTGACCCAAGCTTCAGTATTCCATTGCCATGCAACAGAAAGTCCAGGTTGTGAAGCATGAAAAATTCCAACAGACAGCTTAGCTGTGGAGCAGTGCATCTTGGGATGTCTGAGCAGAACACTGAGCATCCTAAACATCACTGTGCCATGTGGCTGCAAGGGCACAGACAACGTGTATTGATCACAGAACAAAAATTAGATGTAGGTGCACTACTCATGGAACAGTTGCTGTGGAAATTTCATTTGCAATCAAGAGAGCTGCAGCAAGTTGAAAGTACAGATAATGTTGGTAGAAGTAAGGAAACCTCCATGGCTGCAGGCCTCCTATAGGCTATATACCACAGATGCCCCATAGCTCAAAGTGCATTGAACAGGCTTGAGCTCATTGATCTGCAGCTCTTTCTATATGTGAAGCAAAGAGCAAAGAGTCCATACAATGTGCATAGAACATCTGGCACATTTTCTGAATTCCTGTGTTTGCATAAGAAGTCAAAATCAAATGACTGTAAGGTACAAAACATGGCACAGGGACAAATTCCATCCATTTTACTTGCTACATTTGTACTGTTGTCAAAGGCAACAACTTCTGAGAGAGAGGCCAAAAGGAATCTTCTAGGTGACCTTGTCATATAATTTCTCTAACAATATATTTATAAGAGGATGGTAACAAGGAACAATTTCTTCACTACAGTGTCTGGTTCTACAAGTGACTGTACCTCTCATCATAGTGCTGCATGCTGTGTCAGTAGTCTGTCTATCTTAATACTTCAGATGGTTTCCATCCCTTCAATCCAGCTCTGTAGAGACAAGCTGAAGCATTTGTATATCAAATATATTTTGTCTTAAATAGATACTGTTTAAAAATGTTAAATCTTACCTGTATTACAAATAATTCCCTGGACTATTTATGTCATAACGCAGTGCCACCAGCACAGAGGCAGATATTGGTTATACGAGGTTAATGTTTTATAAGTAAGAGTCTTGGTGTAATATGATCTGGAGTTTGACTGAACTATTTTAGTGCTGTTAAACACAACTAAATTAAATCATTTAAAAATGTTATTTAGTTTTTAGTCTTTATTCTGTCAGTCTGCCTTTTGAATTTCACACTTGGGAGAACTAAAGTGGCTTCCCACACAAAGAAAAGAGTATCTGTATGCTTGGTAAAAAGGGAAGGTTGATGTTCTAGTTGTACAAGAAAAAAATGCTCACTTTAGTTTCTTTCATCCATATACTATCTTGGAAGTCCCTCCTCTCCCGTGGATCTTCACTGGAGCAATGTGGACTGGCAAAATTTGGCTACGGCATTTCAGATGCCTGGGGTGCCCTTTGCTGAAAAGGAAACAGCTGGGTATTTTCTGACATAATGTGCCTAATCCACCTCTGCTGCCATCATCTTAATTGCTGTTGCTGTTTTTTTAAGTCCTCTACAGAAGGTCTTTGTAGTGACAAGTGAACAGTTCACGCTTCATAAGCAAACATAAAGAAAGCTGCTGCTAATTGGAGAGGGAATAATGCAGTTATGATTCCATTAGCATTTAAGTTACAATTGCTAAAAGGGACGTATTTTGGTAAGTATTTACTCGGCCATATAAAACTCTAGCTGGGGTGAAGTTTGATGGATAAGGTCTGACCCCCAATAATGGCTATTTTGGGAAGAAAGAAAGGTTTATTTAAACCTTTTCTATAATATTAACGTAAGTACTTTTATTATTCTTCTACTTGTTTTATCTGTGGCTTTGACCTGTTGGCATGTAGAGTAGCTGATCCTGTCAAAAGGGAAAGACTTTGTCACAGCTCTGAGGAAGTAATTTTACCTTAACCTGCCCTGAAGGCCTATAGCTACAATTATTCTAGTTGAATAGGACCCTTCAGAGCCCAGCAGCGTTGCCCCTTAATCTACCAGAGGGAGGTCAGTGCTCAGTAATGTACTCCTTTTCCTCTCCTCTGCTTACCCCAGGGGCTCAGCATGATGCCTCTGAGCTCTAAAGTGTCTGGAGGGCCTTGTTCTAAACATCTTTCTCCTCCATAAATACACATTTCCATGGACCATGTGGCTATAGATAAGCTAGTGTTGCGGCTATATGTTAAAACTTGCTTCCTCTATATCCTAAGGTTTTTTTTTTTGTTCCCGGTTCTTTTTTGCACCTCCTTCTACACATAACAGTCTGTTTGGATAACACCAACCTGGAGCCTTGCTTCCTATGACCTGGAATGAGCTAAAGTTATGTCCTTTACCTCTGCTGAGAGATTGGCTATGTTGTTTCTGCAAGTTCTTGTTCTTTAGAATCAGAATAGGAAAAGCAGTATTGTATACACTGAGAGGATCATGCAGATGATTTGGGAGTGGGTGGGGGGGGTTGAGGGTTGTTGTTTTTTGTTGTTGTTTTTTTAATTGCTGTAGCATTCAGTGTGCAATTGCTGAAGACATTCCAAACGACTCTAATGAAGTGTACTGTCTGCCAGTCTCTATGCTCTTCTGAGAGGACCATCTGTTGCACCTCAAATATCAAAAGGTCTGCCATAATTTATTGCACCAAACGAATCAATGTCTTTGTCTGATGTATAGTAACTTGCGAACATGAACTAGAAAGTAGTTTCAGTTACCAAACAAAACGTAGGTATTCTTCTATTGTTGCCACATAAATAAAAGTTTAGCGATGACACATCTCAGTTTTCTGAAGACAGAGTAACTGATTAGGCTGATTTTTTTTATTTTTTTATTGAATTGGTCTGGGATCACAGGAAATAGGGCTGGAAGGAAACTCATAAAGTCATCTAGTCCTGCTTACTGCTCAAGACAGGACCATCTCTGACTAAACTGTTCCAGGCAAGTGCCTGTCTAGCCTGCTTTTGAAAATGTGCAGGGATGGAGATTCTACAAGTTCTGTAGATAGCATGTTCCAATGTTTGACCAGCCTCATGGGCAGAAAGATTACTGGTTTA